CACCCTTTCAGCTGTGGGGGCGTTATAATGTGATGGTTAATCCCACTATTCGTTGGTAAAAGAGTAGGCCAAGAGTTGCCGGTGGGTGGTGATGACCAGCTGCCTTCCCTCTAGTCTTACACTGCTAAATTAGGGACAGCTAGAGCAGATAGCCCTCGTGTAGCTTTGTGTGAAATTCAAAACAAACAAACATAATTCTATGGAAATACTGCTTAGCTGTACAAAATGTTTGTTTATAACATTAGACGTAAATATACATTTAAGTTTCAGGCACGTTTTACAAAATTATCAGTTTTCTGGAAAAAAACAAATCATGTGAAAAATATATAAATTGTGATTTAGAACATTTATTTTACCATTTACCCTGGCTACTGGAGTAGTAACTTCAAACAAATACACCGTTTTAAAGTGGTCTTTTAGTGGTACACTAGCAGGCTTCGTGAAAGAGGGAAATAAATCCAGAGACTACCATATTTTTTTCTGAAAGCTTTGAAAATTTTTTGTTCGTTATAATAAAAGTTTTATAAAAATATCACGTTTTTCCTCATAAAGCAAGATCTCCAAGTAGAAATTTCACTCGATTACTTAAGTTTTAAAACCGTGTGTTACGTGTATTTTTACGTATATGTGAATTAAGTGCAAATATGAAAATATAATATATATTATAATATTTTTATTGTTAATAAAACATTTCTTTAATTTTTTACTGATAATTAGAATAAATTATTTTTTAATTTTCATTTATATATCATTATTAATAATCTTTGGTAATTCTGTGTATCGTTATGTTTTTATTTGTACTTTCTTTTCGCAGGTGAATCTGTGTCTGTGATCAAGCATACTGACTCTATTCCAGATCCAAGGGCTGTTAATCAAGACAAAAAAAATATTATCTTCTCCGTAAGCATAAAACTAAATTTGTTTGGGGAAAGGGTGGCATGTTACAGTCTCTATCTATCTTGTTGGCCAATTGCTCGGGGTTAGACCAGTTTTTCATAGTAACATGGCATCTTTTAATTGCAACCCCTCCCTGTTGTTAGCATAGCCTTTCCAAGGTACGATGAGGAAAGTGTGTTTTCTAATACCTAAGGTATATTGATCTTTCCAGAGTAGAATTAATGATTTTTTACTAAACGTAGTTTATGACTCGACATTAGCACGTGAGGTATTTTGCTAATAAAAAAAACAACAACTCTACAAACGTTCTCCTAGGATTAGCAATGTAATTCTAGTACACAATTTTAAACGGACATTTTTATGTATATAACTTGTTGCTGTTAGGATTAAATAATTTCTTCTATTTTTTTTAGAAATTAAAATTACTTTAGCGACTTCAGGTTTCTTGCAATTTCATCTAAAATATTGTAAAGTAAAATAAATATTGGGATTTAATTTTTAACAAAATTACCAATTGAACATAGCATAGGTAATTGTTCAAATAAAATTATTCGTTTAGTTAATTATTATTTGATGAAGTGCAACACTTGACAGAATTACGATATTTATTTAGACAATGCTTTAAAACTTGTGATTATTTTGTAAATGTTGGGCTAAATTTTTAATTGTGAACTTTTATATAAAATTACCTTGATTAGGATGAAAAATAAAAAAAAGTTAATTTTTTAGTTACCGAATTTATTTGTGTTTTAAAAAGATTTCGAGGAAAAGATCAGTTAGATCTTCAAGAATTACTGTTGAGGTCCAAACAGAAGTGTGTGTGTCCTTTAATGATTGAACTCTTTCTAGGGTACTAATATTGCATCAGGGAAGGCTCGAGGAATCGTAATTGGAACTGGTTTGGATACTGCTATCGGTAAGTTTATTCTCTGTAGAAGTGTATACTACAAGTATTCATTGTATTTGTTTGTTTACAGCTAGTACTCACGTAGCGGTAAAGAAACTGTTATATGTTTGTTTTGTTTACAGTCCTACATCTGATAAAAATAAATAAACTGATATCACTGTTGCTTTATTAATTTTTCTATGTGTTTTAGTTATTCTAGCATAAAATACCTGGGTTCTACTATGGGGTTCAAAGTGGGGGCAAATAACACAGGGGGGGTGGTGGCTTAGAAGGCCTTGCCTGCTCAGTTTAGGTCCATTGCCTTCCAAGTTTCAGATTCCAAGTTGATGTATGATACACAAAATTAATTAAAAATCATTAATAAAATTAAAATTAAGCACAAAAATAATAACAATTAAAAAAAAAGTATTGTAATATTTGTAGTATTCTGTAATATTTCTAGGGTTGAATATGTTCACTAGATAGTATCAGTAATACATCCCATTAGCAAACCCCTTTATAAGGTCTCCTCGGTCATGATTATTGATGTTTTCTAATCTACATATTTCCAGGATGGAGTCGTATTCCAGCACTGACCTGGGTACTACTACATTATTCTTTGTAGATAATAGTTACAACTTTAGGCTATCATCTTTCTGTTTAGTATCATTTTGCCCTGCAGCTCATGTATTTATTTACAGTGATATTTCAGTTTTAGTTTTTATTACGTTTTGCTTGTTAATAGTAGTTTTATTTTTGGTGTTTACATATTTTAAGGTTTAATTTGAATTTCGTTTTGCTTATTTAATAATAGTTTCCATTTTAGTTTTGAGTATTTGACGTTAATTTTAGTTTCCATTCCATCTTGAGTTTTAAATCAAAATCACTGGTTTATGGAGTAATTCTTTTAAGTGTACAATTACTAGTAATTGCTCTGATAATTTACATCGTGTGATATGAACGATATATGAATTAAATGAAAAGTAATAAAAATACAATTTTAGTACTTAGTCCCTTTCTTTCAAAAAATGAAAACTTACAAATGTACCGGTTAGCTATATTCCAGAGTCCAGACCATAACCACAACACTGATTACAGTGACTAGTGACCAGACAGCAGAGATAAATATTTAAACTTATAATATGCAACGTACAAATCAATTTTGAAAAATAACTTATTTATAGTAATTAGTCTCCATTATGATTACTAATGTCAAACTGATTAAAGTCACTATTTAAAAGGGCCAATAATATTTCAGCAACTAATTCCTCCCCAAGTTCAATCTTTATTTATATCTGTCTGTCTAGCTGTGACTGTGGAATCTTCTTGTCCCCTCCCATGGGTCAGTGGTAAGTTTATGGACTTACAGTACTGGTTTTTATTCCTTGCAGTGGACAGAGCACAAATATCCAGTTGTGCAGCTTTGTGCTAAAAACAACAGCAACACAATCCTCTACTATTTAACAGAATAGTCATTATGAAAATGATTGGTAATGAGGTTGGCTGAAAAATACTTCATTTATATACTCAATATTTGTTTAGCACTCAACTTAAACTATATTATTACTTTTGCCATCAAAGGTGATGGAGGTTATGTTTTCACTCCTCTGTGTGTGTGTGTGTTTGTCAGCAAGATTTCTTGAAAACAGCTGAATGGATTTGGAAGAAAGTTAGTATACGTTTGGATATGAATCAACTTAAAAGTGGTTCGTTTGGATGGCTAAGGTGAAGGGGACTGAGTTTTCACACTATTTTTACTCTATAATTCAATCCAAAATAGTCAGATTTTCATGAAATTTCGTAGACATATGTAGAATATTATTCCTCATTTGTCTTACCAAAATGGTCTGTCCATCGATAACGACGGACACATTTTCATATTTTTTTAGGGCCAAATATGATCTCTGCTGCATGGCTGAGGTATGCACTCTACTGAGTGCCCCTGTAGTTGATTGGTGTAATAATTTCCCTGTTTCATTTTGAATGTTGAGAGGGGAAAAAAATCTGAGTTCTTTTATCCTAACCAATAAGAGATAATACTGTGTTAAATTCTTCAGAATTATAATAAAAATATCAAAGTAAATACATTCTTTTGATTAAAAAAAAAGCATCCAACTTCACTTACAAAAAAAAAGTAAGTAACTGAAAAAATTAAAGAAAAAATTAGTAATCTAATTTCCCTGAAAGGGGGCCAAAGGCTGCCTGGAGGGGTCACCTGTTTTAACCACTGGCACCACTTTCCCCATAGTGTGCTGTCTGTCAGTCAGTCAGTAGACACTAAGATTACATCACCTAAGGGAAGCTTAACATTGCAATTTGCACTGTCATGACATCAGCAAATTTTGAGCATGAGAAGAATTATGCACTCTGCAGACTACAACACAGCATGAGATATGATCTTCAAAAGCAAGAATTAAAAATTTTTGTTAGTTAATTTTGATTTTCCTTACTCTTGAAACAGAACACTTTCAGTAGTCATTTTAGTATAGTTGGTGACAAATGCGTATTGATCATTGGAGATTTTGGTGGGTATTGTATATAGAACCAATTTTTCTGTTTGTTAAGAAAAAAAGATCCAGAATTTGAAGTGCCTGAACATTGACCATGCATTTGATTATTCTTTATCAAATGTCATTTATTTTAGTTATGTTAATATATTTTTTTCTAATCAGTTTTTATTTGTTATTAAAAAAATTACAGTTGTAATTTAAATTTTTCCTTTTCCATTTAGGTAAGATTCGAATAGAAATGTCTGAGACTGAAGAGGTCAAGACACCCTTGCAACAAAAGCTTGATGAGTTTGGTGAGCAGTTATCCAAGGTGATCTCAGTGATCTGTGTGGCTGTCTGGGCTATTAATATTGGCCATTTTAATGATCCAGCCCATGGTGGATCATGGATCAAGGTAAGTACTTGTTTAATACCATTTCTTGAAATGTAAATCTTACTGGTGGAAAAAATAATGACTCATGATTGATTTAGCACGTTTGAACTCTACAAAAGTAGAAAACTTTAAATGTTAATTACTTTTACTGACACTAGTTGTATTTTTTTGATTTTCATATACAATTACTTTGTACTTTAATCAAAATTAACACTAATTTAATCTTGTTTTATTATTATTATTTATGGGTTTTATCTGAATAAATGTACTTAACCATCACTGTTTGAAGTTAACTTTTTTACATTTTAAACACAAAAAAATGAAAATGATTATTTCAGATGATCCTTTTTTTTTGGTTTTAGATAATTCTGTATTATTGTTAGATAACCTGTTTTTGGTCTTAGATAATTCTGTATTGTTTTTAGATAATCCCATATTGATCTTAGATAATCCTGTATTTTTTAGTTAATCTCCTATTGGTCTTAGATAATCTCCTATTGATCTTAGATAATCCTGTATTTTTTTTAGTTAATCCCATATTGGTCTTATATAATCTTGTATTGTTTTTAGATAATCCTGTATTTTTTTGAGTTAATCCCATATTGGTCTTATATAATCTTGTATTGTTTTTAGTTAATCCCATATTGATTTTATTTTCAATTTAGGGGGCCATTTACTATTTCAAGATTGCTGTTGCATTAGCTGTAGCTGCCATTCCAGAAGGTCTGCCTGCTGTTATTACAACGTGTTTAGCGTTAGGTGAGTTTCATTGCAATGTCTCTAATCTTTAGAAAACTCTTGAAATTTAAAATATTAGTGCTGTAACTTTGAGGGATGCTTGATGAGCTGATTATAGTGGCTTAATGCATCTTAAATATAGAAAGGCTTAATTCTGAGACCTAATAGTAACTACGTTTGTCAGCTGAATGTTTCTAAACACCAAGTAAAGGTTTTTCTTTGTGGAAATTCAAGTAAACTATTTCAGTAGTGCAAGTTCTTTAAATTTGTATTCGTAAAGAACCAGAAAACAAGCTTAAAATAAAATATAAAGCGTTGTTATTTTACTTTTATTGTAAATGTGTTCTTTGATAAAGTGGCTCAACTTTTATCGTAAACGTTTTTGTTTGAATATTTTAGATGTGGAGTAAACTGTATATAAATATATGGACCTATCATTCAAATGGTGTTGTTTCACAGCTTCTGCTTGAAAGTGTTAAAAGTTGGAGTTTCTTTGATAAAGTGATGAGTTTACACGTACAATATTTGTAAAATGAATGTATGTTATGAGCCTCAAAGTTCTTGTACAAGTAGTACATACCAAGATTTTTTTACCTTTCAGGAACGCGAAGAATGGCTAAAAAGAACGCTATAGTGAGATCATTACCTTCGGTGGAAACGTTAGGTTGTACCTCTGTTATCTGTTCAGATAAAACTGGAACTCTGACTACTAACCAGATGTCGGTTTCTAGGGTAAGTATAGTACACTTGTGTAGTACAATAGCTGATCTTATATACATACAAAAAACGTGATTTTCTAAGGCAGATAGAAACTTTCAAAGAAGAATATTATATATATATATATATGTAATGCTCAAATCTGTCCAACTAAGGCACAAAAACCCTGTTAAAAAGCATGAATTACAACACTATTATCGGTGTAAAGGATCTGACACATTTTGGCTGTTTTGCCTTCTTCTCAGACAAGGGTTGCCAAAATGTGTCAGGTCCTTTATATTAATAACATTGTTTTAATTTATGCTTTTTAACATTGTTTTTATGTCATAGTTTGAAGTATTATTGTTTATGACACCCGCTGATACCCCTCACATGAAAAGTAATTCAGTCCCTGACATTTACTCCCGTCTTATTGGCAATTCTTAAGTTTGTCAAGCCTTTCAGGCTCCCTTTTGGCTGCAGGAGCATACTCTCACCACTGATGAAATCAACACTTAATGTTATTTATCAGGTGTGTTATCCATAACATAAACAAGTGTAGAATTGTCCAGTAAATTATTATCCTTTCAACTTACTTCTTTCTGTGGCAGCAGTTACTGGTACAAGAAGTAAAATACAATTAACAAACTACTCTGGAGCTACACTTTACCCACAGAATGAAGACTGTGATTACAAAAGACAAAAATGGACCCCAAGAATCACGCTCCAAACCACTCTGGAGCAACACTTTAACCACAGAATGAAGACTGTAATGCCAAAAGACAAAAATGGACCCCAAGAATCATGCTCCAAACCATTCTGGAGCAACATTTTACCCACAGAATGAAAGTTGTGACTACAAAAGACAAAAATTGACTCCAAAATTCACACTCCAAACCATTCTGGACAATACTTCACCTACAAAATGAAGGCTGTGGCTATGAAAGACAACTCTTTAACCAAAATTCAATTCATGAAACAGAACATAGACAGGTGGCTAAAGAAACGGCAATCACATTCAACCACATACCTGTCAGGTCTCCTGATGCACCTCCAATGGACTTTGGTCTACTTAGACAAGGTCTTGGAAGCCAACATTGGTGTACAGTGGAGGATCTGTGTAAAGTTTTGCAAGACGTAAACCTCATTGTCCAGCTTCTTAATAGTAGTTTTGGGCATGTCCAGCTTCTTAATAGGGGTTTTGGGTATGTCCAGCTTCTTAATAGTGGTTTTGGGCAATAAAGTGTAGCTGTGGTCATGAGGATAATTGTCAATGAGGAAGTAGTTACAAAAGCAGCATGTGATATGAAACATTGCTGTTATTATATCTCAATGGGAACTTCATGGAAATTTTTAAACAAAACATAGTTTTAAGAGTTTATCATTACATTTCATAAGCATAAATATTTCTACTTTATAGGATTAAGCTTAATGTTTCACCGGCATCTTTTATTAAAGTAGTGACTGCCTCATAAAATGCAACTGTTTCTCACACCTCCAAATTCGTAGTCATGATCCAGTCAATGAATGCCTCGCCCGCTTCATGGATTGTACCATATCCTCCCGGCACCGCAGTAACCGGACAGTGCAACACGAGATGGTTCTGTGTCTTGTGAGGATTCCTGACATGCTGGGCATGTAGGGGATTCACGATAACCCCAGCGATGCAGGTTGGCCTCTATTCTTCCACGGCCTGACCTCAACCTGTTTGCCTGTGTCCATTGCTTTCTGGTTAGGTGATAGAAACAGGGCAGTGGCTCAGTGGGGTCCCCCACCAGGTCTCCACCCCTGGGAGGGTACTCCCTCTATTCCTCTCTCCAAGCTTCCTTAATGTTGAAGTTTACTTTCATTGATTTATAGAAAAGTTTTCTTGATTTTAGTCTTGAAGTGGTGGGTGCTCAACTTTGTAGTTAAAGTGTCAATGACAACAACATTTGAAAAGCTGTGTTTCTCACTTACAATTATGATAGTACTATTATTTATAAACCTATGAGTATGATAATTCAAAATGTATAGCTCCACACATGAAAGATCGTGTCACCCTTTGATTTTTTGTTTACTACAAAACTTTCATACTAATCTATTCAGTGCTAAGGATTCTGCAACAAGAGCTGAGATTACACAAAATGACCCACCAAAATCAGTTAGAGAATGCACGTAAAAAAACGTATGAAAAAAATTGAAACGATATTTCAGTAAGTTTAGTACCCTTTTAATTTTTCTGTACAAATGACTCGTACTCAACTTTTGTTGCTGGGTGGCTCATTCGCAGTGGGTGTACCTCACGGTCTGGTGTGTTGTTGATCTGCGTAGTTTGCTTGATATGTTGCATATATATATATGTATATGCTTTCTTTGCAAATTCCACAATCATTATTACTAATTTGATTGAAGCTTTTTAGGATAAGTCGCCTTTCTGTTTGCACTTTGTTTACCTTTTTATTTTATTGTTTCCAGTGTTTGTGTGTGGGAATGGGGATGGTTTGTTTGTTGTAATTACGCACAAAGCTACACAATGGGCTATCTGTGCTCTGCCCATCACAGGTATCGAAACCCGGATTCTAGCATTGTAAGTCCGCAGACATACCGCTGTGCCACTGGGGGGGGAATGGAGATGGAGCTGCATGACTTGTTGTACTTTAATATTGTATATGTGGACTATTAGATTTTGATGCTTGGAAACCCTGTAAATCACCTTGAACACAGGCATACTCTAAATTAATAAATGATAACTTAACCACCACATGCACATTAAAAAAGTCTAGTTTGAAATTAGACCAGTATTTAAAACTGGTCAGTAAAGAAAGAAATTGAACATGCATAGAGGAGCCTCCCATAAAAGTTAAACCAGCACTCTTTCTTATATAGTCATGGTTTCATTTCACACTCCGTAATACAATTCAGAAATTCCTTTTCTTTTGTGTTAGATATTTGGAAAATGGGAATTTTATTAATCACAAAGGGTAATCATGATGTAGTAACTAACATGCTGTATTGTGGATAATAGCTATGGAAGATTATTCTCAACATAAGCTAACTGATGAGTTATAAAGTGATTACTTGTAGTTTAGGGTTACTACTGAACTGAAAATTGTACCAGTCTGATTTTATCGATCAACATCAACGTAACACCTACTGTATTAAATTTACATTGTAATTGTTCCTTAATAGAAACAAGAAGAGTAAGTACCTAGAAACACAGCAAAACTTCAGTTGAACAATGAAAAAAAATATCACCGAAACCATAAAATATGTAACTTTTCAGCACTGAGCTTTTATTTCCAGCAAGGTCCGGCATGGCCAGGTGGTTAGGGTGCTCGACTCGCAATCCGCAGGTCGCGGGTTCGAATCCCCGTCACACCAAACATACTCGCCCTTTCAGCTGTGGTGGCATTATAATGTTGCAGTCAATCCCACTATTCATTGGTAAAAGAGTAGCCCAAGAGTTGGCGGTGGGTGGTGATGACTAGCTGCCTTCCCTCTAGTCTTACACTGCTAAATGAGGGACGACTAGTGCAGACAGCCCTTGTGTAGGTTTGCGCGAAATTCAAAATAAACAAACAAAATATTTCCAGCATTGCACTTTATTTAGAAGAGTAAAATAGTCATTATATTAAAAGTTTATATGGAGCACTGTTAGATTTCAACACTTAAAAAAAATGCTTGAACAGATTAAAACGAACTAATGTTTACTATAATAATAATAACCACATTTTATGACTCTAAGCTTTAAAGTATTAAATTTAATTTCTGTTTCACTTCGCCAGTTTTTCATCATTAATCGCGTAGAGGATGATGATGTTGCCTTGCATGAATTTGAAGCAACAGGATCCACGTACGAGCCAATAGGAGAAATGTACGTATGAATTGGTTTTATAGTTATTTGGAGTACAACTTTTCTCTAAACACTGATAGTACGTTTAAGTCCAGTGAAAGATGTTTCATGTGTCGTATAAAAGTTATTACAGTGCAATTCAACGATTTGTTTGTGTAAGTGAGGTACAAGTATAAAACTTATGTCATTTGGGAAAAACGTGCTTGTTAATATTATGTTGGACTTCTTTGTGTCTGATTTACTGCCAAAAAATTAGTTAGTAGTCAAACTTGATTATATTGTTTCATTGTTACCTAATTTAGAACTTATATTTTCAACATCATTTGATATAATCAAATTTGCAAACAATTCAAGTAGTTTCTTATAGCTATATGAGATTGACACATTCAAGCACTTTGGGGGGGGGGGGTATATGCTATAAACTTTGATATGTTCTAAGCAACTGAGGCATCTACAGAAATTTCAGGTTTTACTGTCAATTCAATTTGAGGAAACAGCCTTACCATCTTTCAAGTTTACCCTTAAATATTGTTTAGACTTATCTATTTATATATCATCTAGGTCAGGGTTGTTAATCTGTGGTCTATGGAAAGGCTGCATGATTAGGAAAAGGAAGTAACAGCATAGTGTATAGATCACATTGTGGTCCACTGAGATAATAATAATTCAGGTGATTCGTGAACAAGAAAGTTTGAGAACCGCTGTTCCAAGTCACTAACCTGACGACAACTTGATACTATGGGTGTAAACGTTGTAGTTGGTACGTGAACAAGAAAGTTTGAGAACCGCTGTTCCAAGTCACTAACCTGACGACAACTTGATACTATGGGTGTAAACGTTGTAGTTATTAAAATCAGAACTTGTGTACTGTAAAAGTTTCAGTATTTCTGTAACTTGTTTAATGTTTTAACATACTCGGTAATGTGAATTATCTCTTTCTTCACAGCTTCAAAAATGGAAGTAAAGTTCGATGCAGTGACTATGATACTTTGTATGAATTAGCGACAATATGTTCAATGTGTAATGATTCCAGTATTGATTATAACGAGGTACGCAACTTTTTCCTATCTTCAAAACGTGCCTGTGTCGTTTAACGTAAGTACGTATGAATGAGGATTCGTGAGACGTATTCATTGCCTAATCATACTTAGATCTAACCAGTTAGAATGATAATTTTACTTTAAAAGCCAAAATTAAGCATACGGATGATTGTTTGGCTCTTGATATTAATTGTTTTGAATTCTTATTTCGAACATGTACAGCTTTGTAGTGTTTTATTTGACTTTGAAAAATGACAGCAGATTAAAGCAGGTTCTGTGTGAGAATTATAATGTCAATTTCATCATGCTTTTTTGTGGCAAAAAATAGAATTACTGCTCACCATGAGGAATGTAAGATGTTACATAAACTTTATTACAAACATTTAAATCAATTTACGCTTCATTATAGGATCACATGTTTTGTCAAGTTAAAATGAGCAACAAAAAAAATTAAGATAATCCTCTATATTTTAATGCGATGTATTTTTTTTCACCTCTATATATACCCTGTTTTTATAATTTCCTTCTGCTTCTCATAGTACAAGCAAATGTTTGAAAAGGTTGGTGAAGCAACAGAAACAGCCCTTATTGTTCTCTCGGAAAAGATGAACCCCTTCAACTTTGAAAAGGCTGGCCTAACCAGGAGAGATGCTGCTTTAGCCGTAAACCATGGTGTTCAAGCTATGTGGAAGAAAGAATTTACTCTGGAGTTTTCCCGTGATCGCAAATCTATGAGCTCATACTGTATTCCTGTCAAATCTGTTCCTTTAGGATCTGGCCCTAAGATGTTTGTTAAGGTGAGATAAAATGTCTAGTTAGGGAGAGTTAAGGTGAGTTGAAATGTCTTGTTAGGGAGAGTTAAGGTGGAGTTGAAATGTTTTGTTAGGGAGAGTTAAGGTGAGTTGAAATGTTTTGTTAGAGAGAGTTAAGGTGAGTTGAAATGTCTTGTTAGGGAGAGTTAAGATTAATGTTCTGTAAGGTAGAATTAAGACTAGTTAATTTTCTGTAAGGTAGAATTAAGATTAGTTAATTTTCTGTAAGATAGAATTAAGATTAGTTAATGGTCTGTAAGGGAGAGTTAAGATTAGTTTATGGTCTGCAAGGTAGATTTAAGATTAGTTTATGGTCTGTAAGGTAGATTTAAGATTAGTTAATTTTCTGTAAGGTCGATTTAAGATTAGTTAATTTTCTGTAAAGTAGATTTAAGATTAGTTAATGGTCTGTAAAGTAGATTTAAGATTAGTTTATGGTCTGTAAGGTAGATTTAAGATTAGTTAATTTTCTGTAAGGTCGATTTAAGATTAGTTAATTTTCTGTAAAGTAGATTTAAGATTAGTTAATTTTCTCTAAAGTAGATTTAAGATTAGTTAATGGTCTGTAAAGTAGATTTAAGATTAGTTAATGGTCTGTAAGAGAGAGTTAAGATTAGTTAATGGTCTGTAAGGTAGATTTAAGATTAGTTAATGATCT